GTTGTTTGAACTGTGGTTGAAATCTTGTTAAATGTGTTCCCTCTGCAAATACATGTTGTTTTTGTTCACCAGGTCATATTTTAGTTGTTCCTCACATATCTAAGCGTCTGGGATTGATTACAATACACATATACACTGTAAAAAGTGATGAAAAATAAGTCAAAATACGTCTCAAATTTGGCTAAATGTATTTTAATTTGAGTTATGTTTTAAAAATACACAAGAAATGTCTCCCAGTGAATGAGAAAATAAAGCAATAGTTCTTGAAATTAAACTAAACAGCTTTGTGTTCTTGCTTGAAGTCAGAATGTCCTCAAACTAAGTTCATTCAAGCAATTATTACCTCATATTTGATCATTTTTTGGATTGTATACGCACACATATAACACAATATGGGCAAGATCTTAGTTCTATTTAATCATTCATTGCAGATATAATTCATGTTTGCCTGAAAAGTAACTAATTCATCCAAATTGTGCGGACAAAGACACACATTCAGGACGTCTTGCCACAAAGTCAAACCTTCTCGTTATAATCATGTGAACGTTTGTAGAATGAGCTGCACCTAAGCGGCTCCCGTTGAGTGAAAGTGCAAACCCGATCATTGTTTGCCTGATTGTCTATTGTCTGCGCTGCTTTCTGCCCCAGGCCCAAAAGCGGCGTCCCCCCACCCCCTCTGTGACCCGGCAGACTAAAATCAATACCCTCTCTCTGTGCGTCCATAAAGGAGGTTTCACACGTTATTCCAGGCTGTTAAATCCTCCCGCTCCTCTGCTGCCAGTTCCAGTCTCTGCTCTGGCTCTTAGCGTCCACCTGCAAACACTTGACACTGCTGTGAGGGTTTGACGGCAGAACAACTTCCCATTGACTCACGGGGAAGTCTCACAATGTTACTATGTTATGTTATAAAGAGTTTGTGTGTGTGCGTGGCTTTATGTATGTAAATGTGGAAATGTGTGGATATAGAGGAGGTCTCAGGGGTCTCTGCTTCTGTGGCTCAGAGAAGAGACTTTAAAGCAGCTCTGTTTGTTACGAGTCGCTCCATGACCTCACACCAAAGAACACACAAGACATGTGTGTGGCATTGGACTCTGAGGAGCACAGGGACTGGCCTCCTGCTGGGACTCTGAGGAGCACAGGGACTGGTCTCCTGCTGGGACTCTGAGGAGCACAGGGACTGGCCTCCTGCTGGGACTCTGAGGAGCACAGGGACTGGCCTCCTGCTGGGACTCTGAGGAGCACATGGACTGGCCTCCTGCTGGGACTCTGAGGAGCACAGGGACTGGTCTCCTGCTGGGACTCTGAGGAGCACAGGGACTGGCCTCCTGCTGGGACTCTGAGGAGCACAGGGACTGGTCTCCTGCTGGGACTCTGAGGAGCACAGGGACTGGCCTCCTGCTGGGACTCTGAGGAGCACAGGGACTGGCCTATCATATGCAATTGAGAATATCATTTGGTGGCTGAGTGGATAGCAAGATTGTCCTGGGTTCGAATCCCGGTCAGAACAGGGCCTTTCAGGGGTTTGCATATTCTCCATATGTCTGCGTAGGTTTCCTCCGGGTGCTCCGGTTTCCCTTACCACTAAAAACAGGTCTGAATGTAATGAGACAGTGAATGTATGGTGTTGTTTGGGGTTTTGATGGTCCAGTGTGTTCTGGTCTTGCTTCTGTCATCACCGTGTGGAGAGAATGGAAAAATATCTGAACTCTGAACATTGTAAAGTGTTTTAGGTGACTTTGGTCTATAAAAATGCACTATATAAATAAACATTACTTACTTACACTCACATCTGAGAGAGTTATCATAATATAATAATAATAGTACGGAAGTTTAAAGCCATATCAACCTGCTACTATGAAATGGCTCTGTCTTTATGACCGTTATTGTTGGCTCCGTGCTTGTGAAGTGCAGTAATAACGGAAAAAACGATCTCGAATAAAAAAAAAAAAAATTGCAGCATATGAGGATGAGTGAAGTGGATTTCCAGAGTTCAGGGCTGTTCTTTGGTGGAAAATGTGATGTTGTGAGGGCGGAGGTGCATTCCTCTCCCCGGCCCACGACACAGCACCAGATATCAGCCTCAGTTCAGTAACAATAGTGGGAACAGAAAAGCAGCAAAGGCCAAGGATTAAAGATGGCACTGTACGACTGTCACTATAGAGCAGGCACGGCCAAACTCAGGCCCGGGGACCAATTGCGGCCCTCTGTGTTATTTTATGTGGCCCTCTGCCTTGCTAACCCAAAAATTTGAGATCATACACACCTTTGTCACTGTGTCAGCCAGCTAGTTTTTATGGTCCTAAAGTTAGCTGTAGTTACGCTGAATGCTAACAGCTAAATGCTAACAGCTAAATGCTAACTTCTGACGGCAAGAAGGTCCTGGTTTCGAATCCCGGTAGGAACAGGGCCTTTCTGAGCGGAGTTAGCATGTTCTCCTCGTGTCTGTGTAGGTTTCCTCCAGGTGCTCCAGTTTCCCCTACCACTAAAAACATGTACAATAAATCTGGCATGCATAAAATAAGATTACTTACTTAGTAGACAGTGTGTTGCTATGGTAACCAGCACTCGTTCTTCTCTGGTAGGAAAACCAAACTGAATCAGTACCTGTCTAGTGTTTCGGAATAATTACAATTTGATATTTTTTGGTCAAAGTGGTGCATCCTTACTTACTCAGAGTGACTGAAGACGCGGCCTCCTCATTGGTGGAGTGACTCTGGCTCCTCCCCCTCAGGCCCTTCCCGTCTCCTCACATCATCTGGAGTGTCTCGGTCGCCGCGGGAGCAGATGGGAGCGCTTGTTTTGCGATGAGGTGTCTGCCTGTGAGTGTGAGCTGATTACAGGGCAGCGGCGTTGTGGCGCAGAGAGGCAGGAGGCTGAGTCACTCTCTATCATTGACTGCACCGTTCTGTTGAGCAAATTATACCAAACGCAGCACAACAACACGTGACGTCAAAGCAAATATGCACACGGGTCATTACTGTGGTCAAAACGGCGCCTGGAGTTCAGCACACTGTACGGAGGACTGGACAGGGCTGAGAGTTTGAGCGAATGTGACAATGGTGTGTGATGGGAGACCTCTGGGAACACCTGGTGCTTCTGTGTCTCTCTGTTGTGTCCATTACATTTATTCTTAGTCGTCTTGAATTGTACAAGATCAGAGAATCAAACGGGAGTTAGAGCGGGAGCCAAACGAGCAGAGTTTCGTGGCAGTAAAGTGTGGATTCAGAGAAAACCAAAGGATTTAAGAAGAAAAAAAGTTCAGGATGACAAGGGTCATTAAAATCCCCACAAAATCCGACTTTTATCAAAGCTGTAGGTTCTCTGTCAGGTTCTGTCAGCTGAGGTCGAGCTGTTTTAGTTTACATTGAGTTCTATGGAGATAATTTCTGGGCAGCCCACGTGGATTTAGTCTGGTTCAGTCTGGTTCAGTCTGCAGTACCGCGAGAATCCCCCGAGCACATGTGTTCTTCAGCTCCAAGCTAGTAATACCCTATCCAGTTATTATACAGTAATCGATCCATGACAAGGAACCACTCAAATGCCATACCTGCAGGTGAAAGCCATATCCCACAGACCTCTGAAGCTAATCAGGGCAGGACCTGGTTAGTACTGCGATGGGAGACCTCGGGAACACCAGGTGCCACAGTAGGGCGGCTGCGGCTGCGGCTGCAAAGTGCCAAACTGTTGTTGTGTCCTTAGTCAAAACACTTGTGTGTGGTCTGAGGGGCTGACGGCACAAACTGGTTGCCTCGCTTCTGTGAGTGTGCCCCAGGGCAGCTGTGGCTACAATAATAGTTTATCACTGCAGTGTATGGAGTGAGTGAATAATAACATATGAAGACAAACAAGCGCACTGTCACTTTACTGCAGATCATAAACAAACTATAACACAATTAAATGGCTCAAATCAGTTACTTTGGCCGGAAAAAGATCCTTTACTAATGTAGTTACTTTTGTGGAGAAGAATAAGGCTGATGACGAACCACCTGTAGAAGGAACTTTGCCAACGCTGGTCTGATCGTTCAAAATGACAAATCGTTTAATATTTTTCTCATGACTTGATTCGGTAATTCAGCAACTGTTTCAATCAGAGTGCCTTGGATTTTTTGGTGTGGTATTATTTATCTTTTACTCAGAATACCTGCTCTTGAAAAGCTGCTCCCCTCGCTCCAATTGAGTAGTTATTTGTTTTTTTGTCTACAAACTACAATATTTCTGAAGTACCAAACAGCACTCCTTATTCTGGCTGGTGAAGCCGTGGTGAAATTTAACTTCAGTCAACTTAGAATCAAAAGTGAATCAATATGGACAACGCATACTTAGTTTTAAAGCTCAGAATCAGTCGTGGGCCTTAGACAATTTTGGTGAGCTAAAGTGGCCCTCTCACTGAAATATTTCAAACTAAAATTCCCTGTTAATTTAAAAGAGTGATATACACACTTCATATTATATCGCTTATGTTGCTGCCTGTTTTTTAATGTGTTTTTTTTTGGCCCTGTGCTGCTTAAACGAATTGCCCTTGGTGGGGTAAATAAAGTAGTCTGAATCTGAATACACAACAAGTCGTTTCCAATAGTTATCCATCCTCCACACTGCAATCCTTCCTCTTGCGGTCAGTCTGAACGATGAGTCAGCCCAGGCCTCTCTGATCCACTGATAACACCTGAAACAACAGTAGAAAATCACAATATCAACTTTAATCCAGCCCCACACAGTTGTCTCCTGCCGTGTTTGGCTTGTGGCCCACAGAGCTCCTGTTGTACATTGTGTGGACCGGAGTCAGAAGCCTCAGACTCGGGCTTTTGTTTGGGATGTTGTAATCTCCGGGTGACAGGCAGTGGCTGCGTGTAGCGTGTTTGTGCAAAGAAAGGGGCGGAGCCAGCTCTTCTGAAACATACAGACAAACATCTACTTCTCTATGTGGTCAAAGGCAGCGGCGCGCTCAGCTGAAGGAGAGCAGAAAGTAGAGAGGACACAGGTCTGGTCCGGGCTGAGCCAAGATGGACGTCAAGGCGGTCCGCTTTCTGTACATGCAGCGCTGTAAAGGTATGAGGGCTCAGGGTTTCAATCGTGTCTTAGTCAGTTGGTAAAGAGTCGTGGGTTTTAAAGTCCAATGTAAGGTCAGAAATAGATGCATTTCTACTAAAAAAACACAAACAATCGACAAAGAATAACATGATCAATAGTAAGAGAAGAGAACCAAAGGTAGGAGTTGGTTTCAAACTTTTGAAGAGGTATTTTAGAAACTTAATCGAGATGGAATAAGTTAAAAGTCACATTTAAAGTTAGACGTGCATGTGCTAGAAATATGCAACAATTAGGACCAAAGTTATATTTTTTGTTAACATTATTAAGATGTATTCGTCCCACAGTGGGGAGATTTTGTTGCAACACACACTCGCACACAGACACACACACACACACACACAGACACAGACACAGACACACTCTGTCTCTCTCTCTCTCTCTCTGTCTATCTCTCTCTCTCTGTGTGTGTGTGTGTGTCTCTCTCTCTCTCTCTATCGCTCTGTCTCTCTCTCGCTCTCTCTCTCTCTGTCTCTCTGTCTCTCTCTCTCTCTCTGTCTCTCTCTCTCTCTCTGTCTATCTCTCTCTGTGTGTGTGTGTGTGTGTCTCTCTCTCTCTCTCTATCGCTCTCTCTCTCTCGCTCTCTCTCTCTGTCTCTCTCTCTCTCTGTCTCTCTCTCTCTCTCTGTCTCTCTCTCTCTCTCTGTCTCTCTCTCTCGCTCTGCCTCTCCTTCTGTCTCTCTCGCTCTCTCTCTCTCTGTCTATCTCTCTCTCTCTGTGTGTGTGTGTCTCTCTCTCTTGCTCTCTCTCTCTCTCGCTGTCTCTCTCGCTCTGTCTCTCCCTCTGTCTCTCTCGCTCTCTCTCTGTCTCTCTCTCTCTCTCTCTCTGTCTCTCTCTGTCTCTCTCCCTCTGTGTGTGTGTGTGTGTCTCTCTCTCTCTCTGTCTCTCTCCCTCTGTGTGTGTCTCTCTCTCTCTCTCTGTCTCTCTCTCTCTGTGTGTGTGTGTGTGTGTGTCTCTCTCTCTCTCTCTCTCTCTCTCGCTCTGTCTCTCTCTCTCTCTCTGTCTCTCTCTCTCTCTCTCACACAAAAAGATAAAGTAGATACAATGACAAGTGGACGTTCTGAAATTGCACTATTGGACACTTTTACAGTATTTACTCTTAGGAAGGACATGTACCGGGTCAGCCGTTCTCGTTGTACAGTCTGACAGCAGCAGCGAATCCTCTCCTTCCCGCAGCGAGGGTGGATCCGTCTGTTCTTCTAATGTCATTCCATAAAGAGTACTGTAGGTGAAAGAACAAAACAATATTGACAGGATGCATTCAGGAGGCGTGGAACGGGACGGAACCATGTCTTTGAACCATTACATAAGAGAGAAGTGTACAGAAGAAGCTATAGCAAACTGAAATGATGACAATATTTTTAACAGATAATGAAAACACATTTTTTACCCTGCTATATTTTTGGTGTAATGTATTTGTAAATTGTAAATATATGTAAAAACTTTTATATCAGAAAACAAGAAGTCACGGCTCCAAATCTTAACGATCAATGGAAAAATAGGCCAATGACCGATTCAGTTTCATTGAATTACGTGATGAAAAAGTCCCAATTTCTCTACAATTTTAGTCATTGTTGTGTCAGGCTTTCTGTGTCTGAGCTCTGAGGAAATACACTGCAAAAAATGATAAAATATGAAGTAATAATTGCTTGAAATCGCGAGGTTTTTATCTGCATCTGACACATTCTGACTGTCCTTAAAACCAGATTCTCCAACGAGACAAAGCCATTTAGTCTGATTTCAAGAACTGTTGCTTTATTCTCTCATTCAAAGGGAGACATTTCTTGTATCCATCCATCCATCCATCCATTTTCTACCCTTTAATCCATTTCTGGGTCAGGGGGGTGGCAGTCAGAGATGCCACCCAAGTCTCATAGCACCAGCCCCTCACTGACCCTCTGCAGGTGGTGAGTCCACAGGAGGACGGCTGCTCTCTGACTGTGAGCATAGCCTTGATCTTTCAGTGGGAGCTTTGGGCAAAGTGGGGTTAAGTGTCTTGCCCAAGGACACAACGACAGCAGTCATCAGTGTATTTCTTGTATCTTTTAAAAAAACAAGATCATTTTGCTTTGTCCAATTGTGGAATCTTGTTTTAAGGCTGAGTCAGAATGTGCTCAAATTAAGATGCGTTTTGTCGAATATGAGCGTTTTTTAAACTTATTTTCCTACCACTTTTTGCAGTGTAAGTGGCCAGTGTCAGTGCAGTGCCGTAGTCATGGTGTGCGGATTATTAATTCAGAATTTAGATTTTTTCTGTTGTCTTTTTGACTTCTCCTTCCTGTCCCTTTGATTGTTTCCCCCGCCCACCTGTGTGTTTATACCCTGTGCTTTTCTCTTGTCTTTCGTATCAAATCTATAGCTTTAGCATAATAAATGAGCATGTACAAAATACCATATATTCTAGCGCAGAAAAGGCTCTGGGACAAAATACACAGTGGACAGTGAACCCATGTGGTTCTGGGTTCCTTTCTTTCACTTCACCTCCGGACGGCCGTGTCTTCAATCAATGCTCGTCCACTTCATCCATAGACACACCCGCTCTCTCTCTTTTACCCCGATTATGAGACTCCGGGGATTCTGCGTTGATGTTATTGAATATGGGTTACTTTGAGAGAGAAGGATGGATGCGCTCGTCCCTGGAGGTCTCCATTTGATGATTTGATGATTAATATAATATCACGTTTCCCGTCGCATGGGATTAAGCTGAGATTAAGATGAGATTTCTGTTTTTAGATTGGCGTCTGTTTTGTTTTTACGAAAGTGCTGTAGTAAAATGGTTACAGCACTTTCCCCACATGACCAGTCAATCCAATCCACTTTTTTTTATATAGCACATTTTATTAAACAAGTTTCCAAAGTGCTGCACAGAGACACAATCAACACATTTAAATATGCAAGTTTGCCAGCCTTATGCTTAAAAAATGAAATGATAAGTGTAATAATAAAAACTGTAAAATACCAGTGAACAATGAAAATGTGATAAAAACAATAAAACCCAAAAACCTTCGTCCAGATCTGTTGTTAATAATGCTTATGTTTTTAAATAGCACCCTGTTTTTAACCAGTTTTGTACAGTGTCGTTGGGTGTTTTCAAAGGCGCTTTTAAATGAAATGTATTGGTAGTAGTAGTAAGTAAGTAATCTTTATTTATATACCGCCTTTTCACTGCAGATCAGAGTCTAGAAGCGGTTTACAATTGTTAATTATGGGCATTTGTCTCTCACTCCACACAGAGATGGGAGCGGGGTCGCCAGTACAGGAGGCGCATGCCAGAACTATTGGACATATTTTTAGTGGTAGGGGAAACCGGAGTACCCGGAGGAAACCTACGCATTATTATTATTATCACATTTGTAAAGCGTTTTTCTAGCTTTTTCCAGGCACTCAAACACCAAGTATTTATTCACACACACATTCACCGGTGCAGACACCAGGGGGGTTGAGTGCCTTGCCCAAGGACACACAGCAGCTATGACCATAGGAGCTGGTTTCACACCCGCCAACCGTCGATCTGAGCTCTCGACCATTAATGATGTTGGGAGCAGGATTCGAACCACCACAAACCTTAGCACAGATGCTTTTACATACTCTACAAACTGTGTTCTCTGCAGCTGGATTTTACAGTGTATGCACAGCTTTTGACAGCTGCAGCAGCACACTTCAGCAGTCCAGAGTTGGAGTGGATAGAAAAGTGTATAATGTGTGTGTGAGGGGTTTTACAGCCTTAAAACATTTATAGTTTGGGTTGATCTCGTCTTCTTAGTAGAAATGAAGCTATTTGTTTCTGCGATGTTATTACCATGACGTGCTTCGACAGTATTCTGCCGTTGCCGCTTCTGAGGAAGACGGAAGTACCAAATTTAGGGCAGGACAGTAGTAAAAGCACACAGGGAACACACAAAATATACAATATGAGTAGCTGCTATGTTTCTTAGCTAGCTGTAAATGCTTCAATATTGATGTATCTCTCTGTATACACTAGCTGCTATTTCTGCAAATTTCTTATTGTGAGCTGCTTTTAGAAAGTAATCCCTGCGATAAACATATTTATGCCTGAATGATTGTAACTGTAACTGTAACCTCAATCTCTTGGAACCAGCTACAACCTTGTATTGCTAAAGGCAGATTCTTGGTCCTGCTCAAAATGCATGAGTTTTGTCTGCTGCTTGAAGTTGCCACAGTAAAGTTCTTTGCTCTTTTCCCAATGTGTACTTTCATTCTGCAAATATGCTAACGTTGTTTTCCCACTTTGTTTTCGTCAGAGATCCGCGCTCAGCTGGTGGAGCAGCTCAAGTGCCTGGACCAACAGTGCGAGCTCCGGGTCCAGCTGCTCCAGGACCTCCAGGACTTCTTCAGGAAAAAGGCCGAGATCGAGACGGACTACAGCCGCAACCTGGAGAAGCTGTCGGAGAGGTTTCTGACCAAGACTCGCAGCACCAAGGACCATCTGCTCAAGTGAGTCGCCGCAAAATGCATTCAATTCAATTTGTTTTTCTGTATTGCCCTAAATCACAACAACAGTCGTCATTAACAACATATCAGGGATCCAAACAGATCAAACACTGAAAACACAATAATAACAAACACATAGGAGCCATTCGTTCATTGGGAGTGAGGGATTAACACTGCCCATAGTTATTAGATCCAGGACTGAGGCTGTAGATCCAGGACTGAAGCTGTAGACCCAGGACTGAGGCTGTAGATCCAGGACTGAGGCTGTAGATCCAGGACTGAGGCTGTAGATCCAGGACTGAGGCTGTAGATCCAGGACTGAGGCTGTAGACCCAGGACTGAAGCTCTAGATGTCCACGTTCTACAACCGCTACGTGGCCTTGGTCCTCGTTCTGTAGCTTAGATCCTGGATCTACAGCCCGTCTGTCCGTGTGGAGCAGATCCCTCTCTCAGTGTGGGTCTCCCAGAGGTTTCTCACTTTTTTCCCACTGGGTTTTAGAGTTCTTCCTCTGATGCAGAAGTCTGTTGGACAGTTAGTGCCCAACTAGAAGGACTGTGATGATCCAGGACACTTTAACATTCTACAACATGTATGACATTTATCAACATTCATGGACATTGGTCTCTCCAATGGACCAATGTCTATGTGTATTGTTTGTGTCTTAATTGTTGATTCTCTGATCTGTGTTGGTGATTTCAATGGTTTTGTTAAGTCCTCCGCGATAACTACTGTTGTGATTTAGGGCTTTACAAGAATAAAGTGAATTGAATAGATCCAGGAATGAGGCTGTAGATCCAGGTCTGAGGCGGTAGAACAAGGACTTAAGCTGAGCGGTGCTGGATCGAGGAGGCTGGGACGGGGGTGAAGCTTTAAACATGGCATGTACTGTCTATGGTTGTGATCTTACGCTTTCTAGTTCTTCCAAAGACAAATAATTATAGTAAATACATACGTCTCAACATTTAGTTTGCCTTCCATTCATTGGTTTTTGAGCCAAAGCCTTTACATTTGTGTTCATATTGTACAGTGTTACCCTGTTTATTACGGAGATTTCGTTCTAAAAATAACCTGCAATAAGCGAAATCCCCAAAGGTTGTATTTGTAAAGCGGTAAAAAGCGTAAAAAATGTCCATGTCCACAATACATCGACCGTAAACAGATGGACAATGCTAACCCGCTAGCTCAAAGAAGCCCAAGAGAGAAGTGCTCATGGACAAGGTTTAGCCTCAGCACACTCTAGTATTGACTTACATTGAAAAGTAAACTCTAAAAGAAAACTAAGTTGTGGTTTAACCCTCTCTGTGATCCTGAAGTTAATATTTCGATAATGTCGCTCGGTCCACTGCTAACAAACAGTCTGTGGTCTAATACTGCTTATCCAATTGTTTGAATAGAAATGGGAAGTAGACAACGTGACCGGAAAGATGACCAGGAACTTGTCTCACTGTACCGTTTCTTATAGTAGTCAAATAGAGCCAGCTTTATTTAACAACAAATTACAAAATACTTCATTTCTTGTGTTGTGTTGTGTCTTTTTATGGAGAGCACTCTTATCTAAAGAGTCAGCCAGTAATAAAGGGTTTGCCTCAATGAGCTAATTTTTGTAGCATGTGTTTTGGTCTTTAATGACGTGTGGAGTCTGTGGACTTTCATTGGAACCAGGATTGTCATCATTTGGTTTGACGAATGAAACGGCAATTTCAGCGAACAAACAATGTTGTTAAGAAAGATTGATGAGGCCCAAATTGTGATGTTTACTGCGGCTCTTGTGAATATATGCATTTAGAGACGCTTTGGAGTTCTGGCTTGGACCTTATTTAATCTATCCATATATTTAGCTTGGATCATGCATTTCTACAGTTGCAGCTAAAAAAGGGTAAAGCTTTCAAAACTTCATGCATTATAATTTTGTAGTAGATTAAAGTGGTGCTAACGGATTGGTTTTTTGTCCATATTTGTGATTTCTTGCTTGTACAATGAACCAATACACTTTGTTTTAGACTTGGATTGTAGCCGTACACCTTGAGAACGAAGACACTCATTTCTCCTTGGTCAAAAAAATCTGTACTATTGACATTTCTGGCATTTTTTAACACTGTCCAGACGACCGTCTTTGAAACCAGTGCAACCACATACCAGCAATAGAACCATACCTGGTTTTCTGTTTCATTTTCTGGTGTTTTCATGATATCCATTGAACGGCAAAACTTTGTACAACTGTAGCTCTCCCAGAACTCACCAGCCATGCATTTTCTTCCGCTTTAGCCATTACGGTGTCGCGGGCGCAGCAGTCTGAGCTAGGCCTGTCGCGATAGTCAATAAATCAATTAATCGCACGATAAATAAAATTTGCTCAATAACTTTTCTGGCCGCGATAAATCCCATTTACATGCTTGTTTGTTTTCTCCGTCTCTCTCGGGTCAGAGAGCCGCAAAGTGGTCACGGGAACACTAGCGGTCTAGCAAGCAGACGGAAATTACTCAAAAATACAAAATACAGCCAAAACAGGACCTAAACCAGGACTTAACCAGGATTGACAATGGGGGACACAGTAGTTGTGAACATATGCCGGCAGCTGAGTTCTCATTCAGGCTTGATTAGTGACTATAGTAGCGCAGCTAGCGTTAGCGTGTTCGCCAATGCAGAAGTACCGTACCATACCAATAAAATAAACTTATGGCGCACCTCCGTGAACACATACTGCTGTTATATAAAGTCTCTAGAAGGTCTCTGAACACAGAGATGCTGCAGACTTGCATTCTTGGAGTAGAACTTTACACAAAAAACCCGCTAGCTTAGCTGTTAGCATCAAAGCCCGCCCCGCTACTTCCGGTGGGCGCTACCGCAGCAGGACTTCTGTACGCCCCATTGGTGAACCCACATGTCAGTCACTTGTCATTTGCCTGGTGTGTCTTAAGCCACACAAAGTCAACATGTTGGTATTTCTTTCTCGTAATCTGCCATAAAGTCTGAGAAATTATTGACATTTGAGGCATCTGTTTCATATTTTCTTTACAAAGGTCCTGGCAGTTTTATTCCTGGTCATTTTTTGTTAAGAGACTTGAGTATTTTATTTATTGTTTTTGGTTGTTTGTAAATTTATTGTGTTCTAGCGTTAAATATTCGTTAAAAATAAAAGTTTATTTCTCTTTGAAAAGGTGTACCTGCATGATCATTGTAATCGATGCAAATGATCTCAGAACGCCAATATAATCGCTTATCGCAATAATTTCTGAGACAATTAATCGTCCAGCAAAATTTGTTATCGTGACAGGCCTAGTCTGAGCAGAGAGGCCCAGACCTGCCTCTCCACACACACTTCTTTCAGCTCGTCCAGAGGGGAATCCGGAGGCGTTCCCAGTCCAGCTGAGACCTCCTCCACTTCAGGAGTTGGTGGATTCTATTCTCCCAGAACCATCATAAAACTAGTTATTAGCTATAACAGACACTAGACGCACTGCAAAATGGATGACAAATGCAAAATGTATCTTAATTTGTGCACATTTTCACTGCCTTAACTCAAGATTTGCCAATGGGACAAAGCAAAATGATCTTATTATAAAAAGATATAGGAAATGTCGGTAACACTTTACATTACGGGCCGGTAAGTCCATGGTACTTACAGTGGTACTTCTAGGTACTTATTGTGGTACTTACAGAGGTACTTACAGTGGTACTTATTGTGGTACTTACAGAGGTACTTACAGTGGTACTTATTGTGGTACTTACAGTGGTACTTACAGTGGTACTTATTGTGGTACTTACAGAGGTACTTACAGTGGTACTTATTGTGGTACTTCAATCAATCAATCAATCAATCAATCAATCAATCAATCAAATTTTATTTATAAAGCGCTTTTCATACATAAGATGCAACACAAAGTGCTTTACAGATTGGTTAAAAACAATCCCGCCGGCCCAAGACCCCTCCCCCAGACCACCCAACAGACCCCCCCCAAACCACAGACAAACACACACACACGCGCTCATGAACACTCATACACACACACACACACACACACACACACACACACACACACACCAGTAAAACAATAAAAACATGATGAGAGACTTGGCAGGGTTCAGATGCAACCAGCTGAAAAAGCGTCATCCAAGGAGCCGTCTGCACCAGGAGCAGAGAGCCGCCCGTAGCCACAGGGGACGACACAGGACCCAGAGGAGACATGAAACCGAGGCCCCAGGCCCCCACCAGGCCCAAGAGTCCGACCCCCGCAGCCACACCGACCACTGCTCCCGGTGCAGAGGGCTCCTCCAGAGGAAACACTGGGTACACTAAAAACAATACAATAAGTAAAACACTAAAATGTGAGACTAAAAGGAACACACAATACATGAATAATAGCAATAGCAATATAATAAATAATAAATAATAAAAGATAAATAGAATGGAATAATAAAAACTAATCAAAAGCTACTCTAAAAAGGTGCGTCTTGAGCCTACTTTTAAAAATATGAACGTTCTCTGCGGCCCTGAGCTCCTCCGGCAGACTGTTCCAGAGACGGGGGCCGTAGTGCTGGAAAGATGCCTCGCCGTGAGTGTGTGTCCTGACTTTGGGGATGGTTAGGAGTCTGCTGCCGGAGGAGCGCAGGGGCCGGGAAGGTTCATAGGATAAAAGCAAATCTGAAAGATAAGAAGGCCCAAGACCATTAAGACATTTAAAAACCATTAAAAGAACCTTAAAATCGATTCTGAAACACACGGGGAGCCAATGCAGCGATTTTAAAACCGGTGTAATGTGGTCCCGCCCCCTGGTCTTAGTCAGGACACGTGCGGCCGAGTTTTGGAGTAATTGAAGACTTGCAATGTTCTTTTTGGGAAGACCAGAGAGCAGGGCATTACAATAGTCAATGCGACTGGTGATAAAAGCATGCATCAGCGTCTCCGTGTTGCCCCGAGAGAGAATGGGGCGGACTCTGGCGATGTTCTTTAGATGATAAAAACCTATTTTTGTGATACTCTTGATGTGAGGAATAAAAGTCA